TCGTTTTTCCTGCAGTATATAAAAATTGGACTATCTCAAAAATAAAACTATTAAGACACTCAAAATGAATTTCCTGTTGTTGGAAACTATTTTGTGCAACTTTTTTGTATTTACATATTTGTAGTTAAATTTCTCTAACTAGAAATATATGTAAAAACAAAAACGATTTTCAAATTTTTTTGTAGTTTATTGCACTTTTTTGCTATTTGTGTAGTTACTATGCACTTAATGCATACATATTATTAAAGTTTGGGCTATAATGGTTGTATTGGTGTATAGAAACTTGAAATGCTGCCAGAAATGGCACTACAGCATGTAAGAAGACAAGCTCTGGCTCTTGATTCTATGCTAGATCTTAAAGGGTCAAACCTCGTAGTTCTCACATTGTGAGCTTGTGTGCTAGGAGCAGTCATCTATATGTAATCATGTAGAAGTGGATGTTGGTGTATAATGTTACGTTGTCTCGCAACCAGCTCCAGTGTGAAAGCCTGCCTCAACAAAGGGCTTCAGTTACCACAGAAACGTTCAAACACATGCTGCATTTTATTTTTGTTTAATTATTAAAAGATGTGGAGACACTTTTGTCTCATTAATGGATGGATTTGTTGCCTCTGGCTCGTTTATACCTTCTCTGTTCATTTAAATTCCAAAAAGCAACACAGCAGCCACTCTTTGTTGGCAGGTTTCTTCGAGTAGCATTGAGGAAAAAAATCATGTAGCTCTCGCACTCCTCCTCCTCACCTCACCTTAGTGGCTGTACTTGTGCCTGTCGCTGCCTCCCCCTCACTTCCAATCCAGCCTGTCCTCATGGAAACTGATGCCTCTCGTCTCTGTTTTGTACAACGCTGCTGGCATGCTAAGGTTTTTCGAAACTGCAACGTATCCTTTTTGCTTCATTATGCCTTTTTCTTTCTCTCCTAGGTTAGTTTGGGATAGAAGACCGAGAAATGTGAAAAAGACTGGCCTGTCATCAGCGGCTGAGGACAACAAAAGGGAATGTACAATTTCTCACCAAGATTCAGCATTATTTACATTTAAGACAATGGAGGGAGAAAAATCATTTTTTTTAGGAGAATTGTTGCTCTTTACTTAAAAGCCGGAAAAAAGAAAAAAAACAAAACAAAAAACCCCCCATGGACATGCAACACAGGGGCATGGAGCTACAAGAAAAGGACTACAAAGATGGAAGTGGGATGAGATAAAACATCAAGACTGACAGAGGAACTAAAGGAACTCTGCTATAAAGAACAAAAGAAACAACCTTCCTCTCTAGGCTTACTTTAATTTTCCAGTGACACCCTTAAAGTGTTTAACTCATGCTTATCATCATCATCTGTATTTTCTATTGTTTTTCTTTTGTTTGCTTTGACATATTGGGAGCAAGTTGGGTGATAAACCCAAGAAAGGAGAGAACTTTGTATCCTCTCACAATTAGTATTTTACCTTTTATGATATTAGGATGATCACAGTTATTATTTTAGTCCTCATTATTTTGTAACCTCATCAGTATTTACTCATGGAAATGAAATGGATGTATCTCATTTTATATTCAGTCTACGCATTAATTGGATTTTTTTTCCTCATTCCTGGAGAGGGGGGAGCCAGAGTGATGTTGTCTGTAATGTCAGGGTCATGTTTGCCACAAAGACATTATTGCCTTGGAGAACGGACATCTGTTGCCTTTCTAAAGTCGTGTATGAGTGAGCAATTGAGTGCGTGTGGAAAAACTGAAAAAAAGAAAAAATGCTGACTTCTGGGTCTTTGATTCCATTTTTTGGTCCTTTTGAAAAGTGTTCTTATTTTTCATCACCGGGGTTTTTACGGTACAGATAGTATTCACGAAAAATGATGGACACAGTCTTATTTTTCAAGTACAAAAAGTTCATAATGTGCAAAGAGAAGGACAGACGCTCGTAAGAGGAGCAGATAACACTATGGACTAAAGTGTGTCTGCCATCTTTAACCACGCCGGCTGGGAAAAGGTGAAGGACAGGACACTGAAGAGGTTTTATTGGTGTGGAACTGGATGCACGCGTTTGTAAGACGTTCGTGCAAAGTTACGTTCGACTGACAGACGTCAGACACTTTTGGAAGCGAACTTTGGAGAGGGTGTCATATGAACGAGGGCGAGCCTAACCAAGTACTTTTGAATGGTTTCAAACTTCTGTGACACGGCAGCATTCTAATCGGGAGATGCAAAATCCATTCAAAAGAAGCATTGCCATAAAAATTTAAAAGTGAGTCGTACATGGTGTTGTCTTTATCATTTTTTATTGTTATTCTTGTAAGAAAAAAAGGTCAAGCTGAAAGACAGTTACACTATCAAAACCATGCTGTATTAGAAACCTGTCAATATGTATATGAATTATGAATACACTTAAAAATGCTTCACGTATGTTCCTCTTCTTATGCCTGAAATATTTGTTTTCGCATCTGTTCCTCTGGGAAACCCGCCTGTTTCAAGTTCGTCTAACATTGTTATCCCCCGATTTTTCTCTCTACTTTTATTACAAATCAGCCGTTCTATCTCTTTTATGTTCTCAGTGAGTTCTTGGAAAATAACCACATTAGTTGTAGTCATTTCTGTACACATGCACACTTCCTTTCTTGTTTCTTCTTGACTTTGGTTGACTGTGAAGCTTAGCGGCATACTGATGTAATCAGACAGGTTTTAGAAGATGTCTCAAATGGTTTGGGACCGTAATTTCTAATACCAGCAGTTGCTGGACATGGAGACTGGTCAAAAGGGGGGAAAACATGTGAACCATTGTGTGCTTTAATACGGCTCTCCTGAACTCTGGATGGAAGTCCATTCTTCTAATGCATGTATTTTTCATAGTAATTAAGCTATTCCCCACCTCATACCCTGTAGATAAGAGCGCTTTCACTCAGGGACACCACTCCCATCAGGATAGAAATGTTCAAATAAAGCAAGAAAAAAAACCTTGCTATAACGTTACAAAATTGCCAGGTGCCCTCAGTGTAGGGGTGGAGTATTCATGACAGTTCTAAGTATGCTAATCAAAGGGTGTGGTTTTCAAGAGTATTTAAAGTATTGCTATGAATTTTTGGCTGGTATTATTTTCCTTCTTTCATAAAGGTTAGTCTAGTGTAACCTCTGTTAAAGGAGGTATTAAAGGAAAGCTCCTTACCTTAGTATGTAGAGAACTCCACCGGCTGTTTTATGGCTGCCACAGATACTTGCAGGTCCAACCACACTGCGTGGCATGTCAGTTACCTGCTTTGTATGATGAAGTGCACCTGTGTTGAATCGTATGCATTCGTCATTTAGGTTTTTCTTACGTGACTAAAATAGTTAAAATACCTAACACTGGGGAAAGGGTTGAAGGTTAAAATGGTTTATATGAGATGGAAATATTGAATGAAGTGGGTAATACTGGGTTGCTAGATAAATGGTACACATTTGCTAAAAATGGTGATAATAACAATGGTTATTTTACACAAAAAACATCAAAGCCCAAATACCTCTGTGAATTAAGCTGAAAAAGCACAGACATGCAACACAGTGGACTGGAGCTAGCTTTAGCTATGCTTTGGTTATGATTACATAAGCTAAAGTATATCAAGTACAACATGGTGAAATAGCATGATCTAACAATAATGGCTAACATACCTAACAGCAGCTAAAGGATAAATGGTCAAAGTAGTTAAGCATACATTACAACATAATGAATAAAATAGCGTACAATAGCTAAAGGATAAGTGGTTCAGATTTGGTATAAAATAATGGTTAAAAAAAAACTGAAATAGTTAATATTACTTAAAAACAATGGGTAAGATATCTCACATTAGCTAAAGGCTAACAATTGAAATATTAAGCATTAAAATAATTGATAACTGAAACGCTTTAATACTAAAAGTGACAATTTAGCAAATAAATAGAATTAACTGACTAAAGGCTAAAAGAAATGCAGCTGCTCACCAATCCTCTGCCTTAGTCTGATATAACAAACATGAGATGACAATTCTTCTAATTTACATCCACTGACTTCAGCAGCATAATGATTGCAAAGTGATCTTATGGGAAAGCTCATAAATCCTTTCGGTCTCCAACCTATTGATTCTCCTGTGTATCTTGTTTGACTCTGCTGAGCGCTCTAAACCAGCTGAGGTAGCCACACACCCATAATAGAGTAGTTCATGTGAATGTACGCCAGACCTACTGTATATTAAAAAATAAATAAAAAAGGCTTTTCTCATTCACATGTCCAGGAGCTGCTTCCTGCCAAGTGCTGGGCCTTGACCTCCATCTCCCTCAGGCCGTTCTGGGTTCTGAATAAATCAATTTAGTATATTTTAGTTTCCTCTGCTGTTTAGATTTCTGTATGAGGAATAAATAAAAGATTTAAGAGGTTACTGTGGTGTTATTAATCTAGAAGTCAAGTGTCAGTGATGATATTCGTAATGGCTTCGCTAGTGTTACAGCTGTAAAATGTGTTTTTCTTTCCCATCATGTGGATGTCTGGGCACGTGAGTGTTTCCTCCCATATTGCAACCTGGCACCAGGATGCAATATGGGAAGAATGCAAGCCTGAAGAGGCAGTGTGATGTTTTGAGCAGTGTTCTGCTATTAAACCTTTGTACACCTTCAGGGGTCTAGTGGACCCCCTATAGCCAATCACAGTGGAGTAGCCACGTCTTACAATCAGAGAGTTATGGTGCACACATATAGTACTGGGTAGCACTATAGCCCCTGTCACTGTTTTCAAGGTCATTTTTGATTTCTACATGAACAGAGCGATGCTTGCACTTACAGGCTGGAAAGTGTTGAAGGAGGGTAGAGATGAGAGGCAAGAGAGATGAATGAAATAGATCAAAATAAATCTAGGAACCAAAATAAAAACAGATGGAACAGAGTTGTCTGTTTTGGATTTATAAGGATGGATTAAAGAGGAGGAGTGTGTGCTTGTGTGTGTGATGCTCACAGTTGTGTCTGACTGCCGGGGTCGGATCATAAAGACTGACAGACACACTGCTCGCAGAGGTCAGTGTGACGGCCAAAATCCTCCATCACTCTCAGTATCTCATGAGGAGTGAGAGGGAGAGCAGAGCTGTGAGGGGAGCCAGGTTTCTTTTTCACCTTCCACACTCACTCGATGATGCAACTGAGGACAAAGTGAGGGAGGCTGAAGCAGGTGAGTGCGCTTTAATTCACCGCTTGACACAAAGTGCTCAGACGTATTAGTTTGAGCATCTGTCTCCCGGAGAGCTTCCATAGCGACAGCTATTTTCACCCGTTTTCCTCCTCTGATTTGGCTGTCTGTCTTCCCACCAATTACCAGCAGTGTGTGATTTTCTGTCACAGTCTTTTTATTCTTTAAATGTGATTAGTAGTGTAAAACCAATCAGGCCCCCTTCACTCTCTCTTTTAAATGCCTCACTAATCTGAGGCAGTTGGGTAGAGCTGCTTCTCCTTGGAAACTAATAACAGGCTGCTGGTATTTTTAGTGGCATACAGGAGTTATACCTGACGTCAAGCAAATTTAACAGATTCCCTTATGAAGCATTTCATTTACATTGCAAGATTATTTTTTTTTAACTTGCTGTTTAAATCGAGTCAAACACGTCTCAGTATCGTATCTCATTCCCTGTTTCTCCTCCATCAGCCCAAGCCCTCATTTAAACCCTCGCGCGATGGCATTCGTGCAGCGGATGCGCTCCCCTTGCCTCTCCTTTGTCCAGACATTTTTGTCTCTCCTCCTGAGCACCACGGCCCTCATGTCCTCCTACTGGTGCGTGGGTAAGCAGAAGGTGCCCAAACCGCTGTGTTCGCCCACCAAGCAGACCAATTGCATCCCCGTTCCCGGCGTCTCCAACTCCTCCAGGATTCAGTTCTTCTGGGAGACCGGCGACGACCGCTTTGTCTTCCCCAACTTTCACACCGGACTGTTCATCATCTGTGAGGAGAACATCTACATAGATGAGTGGGGTGAGAGAAAAGAGGGGAGTGGGTAGAAATGTGACAAGCCTAGAATATTGTGATTGATTTCTGTTGTGTAAAGTAAAAACAAAAGTCAAACAGAAGTCCTTACAGACCACAATGGAGAGTCAAAGGACAAAGTTGCTCAGTTTCTTACAAAAGCCCAGACGTGGCACCGCTGACCCTGAAGGGGATTAACAGGAATAGGCACCAATGAATGAGAGAGCACTGGATTTGGACAAAGAAGCTAAAAATAAGCACCGATGCTCCTCTCTAATTTATCTAGTGATGCTTGTAACATTCAATCAGTATCACCGGAAGGTTTTTTATAAGCACGCCCTGATCATACTTGATGATTAAACTGCGTGGTGAGTAGCCAAACAAGGTTAGCCAAACATCTGCCCAGAAACAGGAAGCGAAAGGAATCCTTAGTCCAGCATTAGACACCGAAATGGGTGACAGGAAGAGAGGAAGTGCAAGGTGGTAATGTGAAGTGAGGACTCAGGTGTGTTTGCACGTGTGCAATTGTGACTGTATTTGGGTGGGCGCTCGGCACAAAGAGGATTATCATCTGTGTTTATGTTCTGCTAGCTGAGATTTAGACTTCAACAGCATGACTCAATTATGGATTAAAACCCGGAGAGAGAAAGATTGATAGGATTCACCGTCTCATTTGCAGCTGATCTGCAGCAGATTTGAAGGATGATTATCAATATTTACGATAAGCCCCTTCAAAAATTCAACTGACATATACGGTTAATTAAGTAAAACTCCACATTACAATACACGAGCTGTGCAGGCACCTTAATCTCGTGGTCTCCAGCTATCTGTTACCATGTCTGCAACAGAGTAAATCAAGTGTTGAGAGAGAAAAGGCTGTCTCCTAGCAGCCCATCCAAACAAACCGTACTTGTTCAGTTATTTTCTAATCATGCTGTCATGAACTTTAATATTTAACATGCTAACTGGGGCCTGTAGAGTCTGAGATAGAGCACTTTGGGGGGGGGTTTCAATTTCTTTGAGCGTTGGATGATCTGAGCCCACTCCTTGGAGAGGCGTGTGGCTCAGGAAGTAGATCAGGTCATCTGCAACCTTCATATTAGTCATTTACTAATTTGTGGTTCGATTCCTGACTCCTTCAGTCTGCATACCAAAGTATGTGTGGGCAAGATAATGAACTCTGAGTTGCTCCTATTAGTATTAACGTGTGTGTGAGTATTAGACAGAGAGCGCTTAGTTTAAAAAGGGGTTGCAGTCAGGGCTGTCACCTCCCAGCAGGGCTCAAATCCACAATCTCGCCCAGGCCTTTTCTGTGTGGAGCATGTTCTCCCAGTGTCTGTGCGGGTTCTCTACAGGAACTTTGGCTTCTTCCCACAGACCAAAGATATGCAGTTAGTGGGGTTAGGTTAACTGGTTGGTTCTAAATTGTTCATAACAAATGTGACGTTGAATGGTTTACTGTCTGTGTTAGCCCTGTGACCCTGTGGCAGCTGGGATAGACTCTTGGGTCCCTTCTGTCTTCAGATTGTTTAGAAATGACCTTATAACCCAGACTGATGGGCAGTAACTTCTCTAAGATCATTGATGTCTTTCCTCCTTATCACTGTATTAACACACCTGACTGCTCCAGACCAGCAGTCCTCCAAAACTGCTTTTACAGAGGTGCTCACACTCACTGATGATTGGTTAATCAAGTGCGTTTGATTACCATTCTCTACTCTCTTAATTCCAATGAAATCAGTAAGGAAGGCATTTAGCCTTAGTGTTGGTTTAATAAATAATATCAGTGTAATAAGTCACGTGTTTTTTTACAACCTCCTACGGATGTGAGGATGCTGTTTTCTTATAATTATGTCCTGACACATAACACCGTAGAATAGAAAGAGTTTGCACTTTCTTTTTTACACGACTGAAATTCAAAAATAATTCAAAGCAAGTGCGGCGCGGTGTCCTTGGGAGCTCTGAGCACCAATCCAAAGATAAAAATCAAACAAAGCAAATGAAGAAAACCTATAACAACACAGAGGGGAGCGCAGAGTGATGAAGGCCACGAGCCTGTTCATTACTGTGTTTTTCTTAATGCACTTTGCACATGCGTGTTCAAGTTAGTGAAAATCTGTTCCTCATTTCTCCCCCTTTATTTGCATCTGTTTTTCTTAAGTCTCCGTATGCTGTACTTTCAGGGCCACCTCGGTGTAGAGCCATATGGTACTCTAATTATTTCAGCTGCCATGTAAACAATTAGATAAACAGGCTACAAAGAGGCTTAACCCACTACTGGCACACGTTGCTACTGTTTTTAACGCACGGCCCGTTTGATTGGTGGAAACAAAATGCGGCAATATTGAAATGAATCTAATCTAATCTAATCTAATCTAATGTTATAAAAATGGAAAACACAACAGTCTCAATGTGTGACCTTGTAGCCACAATCTTTCGAGATCTGAGCTAATCTTTTAATCTCCTATCACCAGGTTAACTCAGGCCATTACAGCACTCATGCAAACAGTCATCTCAAATCTGGTTTCTCACACAGTAATTCGATTGCAGTGTTTATTTACACTGAGAGTAATTACGCAGGGGCTGGCGGATTTTGGGGAGAGACAATGCTGCAATGGGTCTTACATAAAACATTTCCAGAGCAAACTCTTCTCATGTTGTCTTCTGATTTCTAGAGGAAAAGTGTCGAGGCTTTTACACACTCCCCCCCGGATCTGAAAAAGGTAAAGTTTTGCGGTTTCTCCCGCTGTGTCGTTTGAAATCCGTTCCCTCATCTGTCTCTGCTCTCTCAGCCTCTCCTCCTCCTTCTCCTCCTCCTTCTACAGCAATGCTTTGGCTGTCGCTGTCAATGGAGCTCGTGAATATCGGTCTGCTGTTAATCAGCTGCATACTGCTGTCCGTGCAGCTGTGTATCAGGGCCTGGTTTCCCTCTACGCAGCACTGGGGCCAGCTGCTCAATGCTTTTGCAGCTGTCTTCACAGTCCTGGGAGGTACAATATTTAGATGCATAGTCAAATCAGAGTGACTTCTGTTAACACCGCAGAAACACCGACAGAGTGACCAGGTTGTTACATTTCCTCGTTTTGTCCTCTCAGGTCTGCTCGGGATGGTTGGTCACATGATGTTCATGCAGGTGTTTCAGACCACTGCCTCGATGGGACCAGAAGACTTCAAGCCACATAGTTACGGGTACTCCTGGGCATTCTAGTGAGTTCTTTAACCATTTATATTACGTAGAAGATGTAGAAGATCACAGTGGTTCAGCCCAATTAGTTGTTCCCTCTCTGACTCAGACCATACTGGTATGATGATAATCTATTCCTCATGTCTATTGCTAAGTGCTTGTCTGACTGACTAAAATTCTTGTTTTGGGGATGAAAACAGGAGAATAAACATTCCTTTCCTGGCTCTTATGTGAATCAGACCAATTTTTTCCACACCAAATTCCTTGAGCTGTTTGTTTGGGATTCTTTGTGGGACCTCTCAATCAGCTGGGGATCAAGTCCCTCCAGCTTGACACGCTACTGAAATGCCCTCAAATCATTTGCCCACTTAAAACGACAGTTTTACAACTCTCAGCTTCTGGAAATAAGTTCTTCTGCAAACACACAGTTGCTTGATGCGTTTTAGAGACACAGTACTGTGCAAAAGTCTTGAGTCATCCCTCATTTCTTTATATATTTTTTTTAGGAAATAGGTGCATCAATTTATTGCAACGGATTCCAACATACATAGGATACAATATGTGTATATTCTATGTAGAAATACAATATAGCAAAGTCCTGTGTCATTTTTTAAGGACATGACTTTCAGATACTGTTTATCTGCTTTAGGCCTGCCAATTCTTCTTTTCCACTTGTCCAGTATAAATAGTATAAAAGTCAGAGTTTCTGAGTTTTCCCTTTAAGTCCAACTTCCAAGTTGAAGTTAACAATCCAAGATGGTAGTAGGGCACCAAAAAGCTACTCGGAATAATATTACTACTTGTGAAAAAACAAAACGTTGTGAAACGTTTGTGATGCCGTTTCTGTTTCTCCTCCTCTGCCTCCAACAGCGTGGCCTGGCTTGGCTTCACCATCTGCATGGCTGCAGGTGTCTCCACCCTGAACAACTATACCAAAAAGGTCCTGATGGTGGGTCCCAGGCGTGCCTCTGACCTCAACCCCTGCAGCTTTAACTTTATGGGACTCCTGCCACCTGCTCCTTACTACACACCACCAAATCCTGCCTCCAACCTCACCTGTCCCCTGTCTCCTCCTCGGATCTCCCACTTGTCTCCCTACTATGACCCCCCTTCGGAAACATTGCCGCCCTCCGCCCCCACTCCAAGGCTCACGCACTCCCATTCACTTCCTATCTCGATTTCTAACTCCTTCCCTCCTCCCCCCTCTCACCCTGCACCTGGATCACCTTTTCACCGTCTGTCCCTGCCCTCACCATCTCCCTCACCTACACCACCCGTCTCTTACCACACGACCCTCCCAAGACACCAGGAGAGTCATTACGAGCAGGAAGAGGACTACAGCCCCCTCTGAGGACCTACACCTCTCTTAGAAATGCTGTGTGCTGGGAATATTAAACTTTATAGAACATGGTCCCAAATTCCCTCCATTTCTCAGTTTGAGGTCCTGCACCCATAGGTAGGTAACAATCACATTTACACAATGTTAGAAAACACAAGTTCTGTACTGACAAAATATGTAATATTAACTTTTTCTGCTTGTTGTAAATAAATGCAAACACAGTTTTGCATTCTCCTGTTTGTTGTGGAGGAATTTTGGCCCACTTCTTTATAACGTCTGTGAGCACATGGGGATAATTTTGTGTTAATACACAGAGGCAGTTAAAGATATACTTCGTTTTTCCTCTCTCTTTACTTCCTTCTAAACCCATTCATGTTACTAATGGACGTCATCTGTTGTGAGATCTTGCCGTGTTTCTTCATAAGTGTGTGAATGTGAGAGTGAATGAATAGTGGAATTGTAAAGCGCTTTGGGTGCCTAGAAAACCGCTATATAAATGCAATCCATTATTATTATTATTATAAGATTACACAACTTTTTTGTATTTATTAATTTATTTAATCAGAATATTTGAATATTTGTAAAATAAACATTTTTTTTTTAGAACATAATAAAATTTTAACATTTGATGTGTTTCCTTTGGACTGCTTTTGTTAGAAAATAACATTTTAGTGATTCATAAACCAGTGCATTCATTTGTTATTTACAATCTGCAATGTCTGTTAATTAAATGATGAACATGTGGATAAGGACTGAGCATAATACAGAAGCTCCTCATTATGTATAAAATGTATATCAACCTTCACTTTGTGAGCCAGTGTAGTTAATTAAGAAATCCATGTCATGACAACTGGAGAAGAAAGAAAAAACACCTCCAATAACTGATTGAAAATCACGTTTTAATATAGTAAAAATCACTGTCAGTGTCATTCATCATGACGTACAAAGGTAGCAAAAATAAACAAGAGCATACAGAGCATCATGGGAAACAAATTATATTTACACACTACATCTCATACACCAAGAGTAAAGCCAGTTGCCTTTCAGTGTGGAAGCAGGTTTAATCTGGGTGATCGAATCTATGCTTTTAGAAACTAATGTGATTACATTTACAACCAGAAAAGACAGCTGAGTCTTTGAGTTATGTAAAATGGCAACTTTCAAACACTCCATGAGAACGTAACCAAAAGGCTTTTATGTGTTTCACGCTGAAACAAAGTAAATTCATTTTGCCTTTACATTTAGTATTAAACTGTATCTCCAGGGTTTGATTTGGTGTCTTCCCAATTACAAACAATTACAGCACAACCTCAGCAGCATCATAATATCGGCTTTCCACCGTATATCTTTGTATAGTCTTATTATATTTTTATATATTATGTAAGACTTCAAACAGATTAGCTACGGGTTGATTGCATTATGTTTTCACTCTGTTTATTCAGTGGCACACTGTATGAAGTAATACAAGGGCAAATTAAAAATTAAAAATCAATAAACTAACAACAAAAAAAATCTAAACAATAAAACTCACCCATTTCCATATTATAAATGTACATTACAAACTGGTTTTTTTATAATAGAGGGATATTAATAGGTCTTAGTCTATGATAGCATCTTATAAACATTAAGGCCTTTTTTTATGTAATTAAAAAAAATAAAGGATTGTTCATCATTAGATGCCCTCAATAAATCCAGCCCCACTCTGGGCTGGAAATACACTCAAATACAGCTGTGATCGACTGAGCCTGCAGAAATAAGCCCGAAACTCCGATTATCTGAAAGCAGGCTCAGTTAAACACCAGTATGTATTTGAGGAGGATCAGCAGATCTACTATATCTATAGCTGAAAATACACTAGCAGCTCAAATCTGATGTCCAAAACAGATACATGTAAACACAGACCACACACTGTAATTAAAGCCAGATTTTAGCTGGAAGAGCAGATTCAGTTAAGGGTTCCAGGTTTGAATTCTGGAGCTACTCAGCAGTCTTCTTGCGTAGCACGAAGTAAATGATGGAGGAGAGGAATGTGAGAGCGAAGGCGATCCACGCCAAAATGAAGCAATGGCCGTAACTACCCAGATTTTGTTCATTAGTATGGAAGATGTCTGTGTAGATGGAGGCTGCGATCATGATGCACAGGCCTGAAGTGAAGGAAACATGGAGACGAGTGAAGATGCACATCAGCGGATGTCATACAGAGAGAGAAACACCCTCAGTGAAAGGAATAAAACATAAGAGAAAAAAGAAATACTCACAGGCAAGGAACTGAAAGACACCAGAGACGAGGAACCTCTGTCCTTTGGGGAGGGTGAAGAGCTGAGCCACAAACACGAAGATTCCAATGATGGAGAATATACAAGCTAGCACCGAGCTGGCCTGCACTGCTTGGAGGTAACCTGCAGGCGGAGCCAGAGAGAGCAAACGCAATGAAGATACAGAGTGTGTGAAAGGGTGTGGGGGGTGTAATAGCTTAAGGACACTCCCTGGAAACGGCAGCACTGCAGTCACATTGAACCTTTGAAAATCTCAGACACAGTTGCAATGCTGACAGGCAGGAACATTACGTTCAAACACGCCAAATGCTTTATGGTAAAAAGACGCTGATCACAAACAGCTAAAACAGTCTTGTATGTTTGACTCAAGGCAATAACTGCATACCAAAGGATTAGGAAACAGTCTTCATTTGCAATGCAAATAATACAGAATTTGGGTGAGTGTAAACTCATTGTGTGTCCCACCAAATGATGCAGATAAAAAGCATGTTCCTGGATTCAACTCTCAATGCTTAAAATAGGTGTTATATTTAATATGTGAGCTCCAGGCCCTAAAGTATTGTATCAGATAGTACTCTTAACAGAATGCACTGTATATATATATTTAAATCTTAGTTATCTTCCCTTATAAATGGAGCATCACTGTTTAAAATCACAATGCAGTCACAGTGTGTTTGTGCATCTAACTGCGCCTGTGCAGCTCTGCTCAACTGACCAGCTACATGTCATAGCATCAAACTATTACTAATCTCTTACTTTGATTCTACACATACGAAAACGTAACACTGAGAGGTGCAAGCATGGAAACATGTTATCTTACTCTCTGGGTACTGTGTTGGAAGATCGACAGAATGCCATGAGTTATTCACGAAAACCCAGCGGGCCCATATATCAGTGGGCATGTTTCCGGCTGAGATGACCCACCAGGCCTGACGGGGAAGACAAAGACAATATTTGCAAAAATATTAACAGAATTCTTGTGTGCTAAAGTAAAAGCGGTGAATCAGTATGAGTGGAATTTAAACAGGTAGATACTGCAGCAGCAGTTATGGTGTGCATTTGCAGGGGGAAATTATGACAATATGAAGAAGGAATTCACTCGTTCCTTTAACTGAGACAAATCTCACTCAGGTATGCAACAGTGGCTGCAACGCAGGTGAGACTCGCATATAGGTATCCGTACTTGTGTGACGTATCTGGATAAGACGCTCAGCGGTATGGGGTGATGACACAGAGCTCGTCACCATATATCGCACAGAAATGTCAAACATGTGGCCATCCAGAAGAACAGCTGGCCGCACGCCGAGAAGGAATGAATTCCTCAACAGATGAATCAGTCTCAACTCTTTGCCCATCCATCATGTCAGAGATGCACAAGGCCTGAAGCTAAGGGAGGAGGCCAGCAGCAATGCTGGGGCAATTATGCCTTGAGCATGGAAGAAGTCTATACAACATACAACAAGAATTGCACTTACATTGTCAATGGTGGCCGTCAGGAGGATGATGATGCAGGCGATGTGGAGAACAAAGATGGCGGCGAGGAGAATCAGCATGATGACTGTGCTGCAGAGAGGAAGGCACAACTTTAACATGTAACAGGGCGAGTAAAATAAACCAAGCAGACTAGGAGGGAACAGTCAAGCGTGGCCTACAGCTAACTCATTGTGTTGTTTGGTTTTTCTTTAGTAAAGGAAGCCTTTCGTGCGAGTCCCAAGTGTGTGCGCGCACATCCTCATGAACGCACGCATTCAGTGCACCAAAGCTAGGCCCAAACCTGGCACCCGCTCAGGGCGTGGCTTCTTAACGTCTAATTACCCTGGTTTACGGCTCCCAGTAAAAGAATCAGAGGCGCTGATGGGCAATTGTGTTTCAAACAAAATCAGTGTATCCCTGGGAAAGCAGATACCTCTGGTATAGAGACAACTGTGGAGGAAAGTTCATGACAGGCAGATGAGTTTAGGCTTGTCTCGGGGCATGGTGATTACAGTGGAGGAACCTGCCACTCCCTAAAATAACTGTAGAGACTACACTCTGTTCTCTGCACCTTGATGCTCCACACCTGATCCCTTTAGTCTGAATCGGACCGCTCGCTATCTCCCGACTTAAAAAAGAAACTTAAGCCTAGCTTTAAAAACTGTTCCCCCTGACTGATTAGTCAAAAAAGATGGCCCCGCCCATGAGATATCAGTTAGTTTAGAATTTGCTAATCTAATGTATACAAGAGCTATGTTTGGCTGTAGCTAACAATAAGGCTGCTCTGGGTGTGAACAGAGAAAGAGGCACATCTGGAATGCGCTGGTTCTCTGGGCTGGTAAAGGAGTGTTCATGGGATGGGTCCTCATACACGCTTCACACGCCCGCCAGTTCCCTTACTTTCACACGCAACCACGCACGTATACAAAAAGAAAAGGGGAGGGGGGCTCGCGCACTGTGATCGCACATACTGGCACATCCCCGCAAAGTAATTTCCCACGTTTTGCCCACTTCCAATCTAGTGACAGCGAAGGCAAATATTGGCTCTGCGGCTCAGCCTGAAGGCAGAGAACGCAAATACAGAAAGAAGGACCAAACTTTAATGAAAAAAAGCTGTGAGCAGATAAACAACAACAATAACAACAAAGTTAAAGCTGATGCTTTCATTTAAAACACGCACACTGAGCACTTTGATCAAAGAAGACATGTTGACTGCTCCTGTGGGCTTTTCCCCCGACTAAATCTGAATCTAGCATATTTTCCATACACAAAATAGACCACATTTGTTTGGGGCAAGATGTGAGAATGTAGCAAAACCACAAGTCCTGATGCAGGAACTGAGAATGGAGCAAAACCTGGTGAGGAACAAGTTGCTTTAACGGTAGAGCAAAGAAAGGTAAACAGGCTCTACTTCACAGATGCACAGACACACACGTCTCCACACTTTAGCCTTTTTTATCATTAGATTTTCTTATCCTCCAATGAAAAAAAAAACCCCAAAACATTAATGCAAAACTACAAAACAAGCTTCTATTCAAACATCACTCAAGCTTGATGAAACACCTGTAGAAAAGCAGCAAAAGAAGAAGAAGAATCTTTGACTTACTGTTAGGTGG